CTGCATACATGCCCAAAACCCGCCGGCGGCGAGATGCTCGGTGCTACGCAGTTACCTCTTGCGGGCGTCGATGACATCGTTGCTTGGCTCTCGTTCATGTCATGGCAGAAAGGTCGACGCATGCCAGCACAGCAAGCCGACTATCTACAAGTGCATTGCCCACGGCGCTGTGCCTCTTGGCAGGCGCGTGTGCGACGCAAGCGATGAGGCGATGTGATATGGAGCATGGATTTGCTGAGTCGCTGCGGTGCAGACAAATGCAATATATATGGCGGGCAGCCGCTCATTTGCTGGATAAACAAGCTTGGGCGATGTGTGGGTAGTGCCTGACACTGCACGAGGTGGGGGGAGGGAGGGGAATTGTTTCGATGAGTACAGACAGCACTGTAGATTGCATACTCCAATGGCCAGCTATGTCGAGCTGATGGGTGGTTTCAGAGGCTCTTGAGCCCTGTCGAAGCTTGGTGGAGAGAGGGCCCCAGGATGCGGGCAAAATGCTCCGCGGAGCGGGCAAAGTGCTTGTTCGGTATTGGTGGCCGCTGGCAAGCAGAGCGATCGATGCCTAGAAGGGCGACAGCTCCGCCGCGATCCCGCAGCAGACCTCGAGCCGTGGGCACCAAACAGCGACGCAGGCTCGGTTGCAGCCAGAATGCATGCAGCCGTCGTGTGCTACTGCTTCCCCGTGCACAACCTGAGCCCTGAACTGCGAGCTGCTATTCGTCTTGCCCGGCGATTTTCCCAGCGATAAAAGTCCCTCGCCGTACTCAGCCGTAGCATACCTTTGCAGTGCCCTGGTGTTGTCCGCCTTTGTGACCAACGGGCCGCGCTGTCTTTCTTAGCGACGCTTGTGAGTAGTTCGGGGTCGATTCCAGCCCACTGGGAAACCGGGCCATGGTCTGATGCGAAGCCCTCTGCACATACATACATAACTTGCAGCCGCCACCCTTTGTCACGTCGCCATCGCCAGGGCTCGCCGACCAGCTTTGACAAACGGTTAATTCGACCTGTGCGCCTTTTCCTTCTCTCCAGGGCAGTCCTTGGGTGTCGAGTAGATTACAGTTTACCAAACCTTCGGTGTCCCGCAAAGTTCCAGTGGCCAGACTCCAGGGATTTTTAGTTGAGCTGCATGCACGTCTGACGTTCAACGGCGCGACCTCAGCACCGGATCATATATTCCTGGGTCCATTCCAACTTTATTCATAAGTTAGCAGTGCTCCTTTGTTGCTTTGGCATTTCCTGGATACTTTCTGCCCAACGGCCACCATGACGACACCAACCGATACTGGCATGCCGGACAAGGGCAAGAATGTGGAGCGCGGTACTCTGGGCAAATATGTGAAGAGGATGAGCACTGTGTTCAAGAGGGAGAAGTCGAGCAAAAGTGTGCCGACCATAGCGGCTGAAGCGTCTTCCGCCCCCCAGGCTGGGCAACAACAGCCAGTCGCGAAGGATGCCGCCAAAGAGGACAAAGCGAAACCGGATGTCACACCTGCCACGTGAGTATTCGATATCTAACATCACTCTAGATTCCTATACTGATTCTATAGTCCCATGACTTCTGGCGTATCAGCACCATCAAGTCCAACCACCAAGGAAATGGATCGCAACGCTATGCAGCAGGAAAGAGCTCGTGCTCTCTTCGCAAAGTACGGCCTTACTCTAGAATCGCACGAGTGGATCGCCGCGCCAGCCCCCAAGCCTACCGTGCAGCGAGTGGAGAAGTCGATCCGTATGCGTGTCCACCGTAGTTGCCATCGTTGCGGAACTCTTTACGGCGCTGACAAGGTGTGCCTGCAATGCGAGCACAAGCGATGCAAGAAATGTCCGCGATACCCGAAGAAGAAGACGCCCGAGGAGAAGCAGGCTGAAAAGGAGGGCATGGAACAGCCGAAACGAAAGAGAATGCTCACCATCCGGACGCGAGGCGGAGACGAACTGGTATACCAGCCCGCAAGGCAACGCATCCGACGTACCTGCCACGTATGCGAGAAACTTTTCAACCCCGCAACGGCAAACGTCTGCGATCAATGCCAGCATGTCCGTTGTACAAAATGTCCACGTGAGCCTGCCAAGCTCAATAAGTGGCCCAATGGGTATCCAGGAGATGCTGCTGAGCCTGACAGCGAGACCGAGGTGGAAAAGCAGCTTGACAAGTTTAGACGAACATGGAGAAAGCCCAGGCAAAGGGTGCGGTGGCAGTGCGAGAAGTGCAATGGCCTCTTTCACAACAACTCGCCGCAGTGTCCTGGGTGCGGGCATGAAAGATGCGACAAGTGTACAAGATCACCGTGAGCATATCCATGATAGCACCTTCACATGTGCACTGCTAACAATCCTCAGTGTCAGGAAGACTGAAAAGGGAGACCGTTTTGATGCTCAAGTTGTCGCGGCTGTAGAAGCCAAGCTGCGAGCCATGGATGTCGATGATGACTCGCCCTCCTCCGCAGCTGAGGCTACGTGAGTGCAGCGGTGAGCGCATTTAGAATCGTTCCGTACTACAATCATCACGATCTTGTTACCCCTTCATTTGACACATCTTACTGGATTCTTGCTCCTGTGTTGAACTTTGCTCAATGGTGACAATCCCGAATAAGCTCAAATCACTGTGACCAAGAGCCCTGTCAACCAAGCTAGCTGCCACCTGGAATCCACATGAGGTGGCGTTTTCAGCGTGCAATGTGGGGTCTTCCATGTGACAATAGATATATGTCGTGCCTGTGAAACGAGTACGGCGGATGTCAGATGAGCTATTGGGACTCATAAGGCTGCGATGTTACTTCAAAACGCCGTGTCATGTCTGAATCAAGTTGTATTACGTGAGAAGTGCGTGGTGGTTAATATGAAGCAGTATTTGGATAGTGATAATCCTGACGGTACTAAGACATGTTGCCTGTCTGGTCAGGCCTCTGGTATCGTCCCTTGAACTATCTACTCCCCAACTTACAAGGAGGTCTCTGCTTACTTAATGGCGTACGGCGTCCAGTGAAGTGGGGAAGCGGCACAGACGTCCTCATTCGCGTGTTGAAACGTCACAATCCTCCACTTTGTCCTTCACCTCATCACGTGGCACTAATCTCAACAAGGAAACTGGTAGAGAAGGCATGTTTGTGGATCTCAAAGCTGGTGTTATTCTCCATCCACTACTTCACTACGGATGGAAGACATCAACGTCACACTGCCCCTTGAGATTGCTGATTCGACGGCATGGTCTCGCATACCACAAGCTTGGTATGTGGTCGTCAGATGAACCCATAGTCGATGCACAATGGCTATATCACTCTATGTACCTTATCAAGCAATCCCGTCTCGACAACCGCTCCAATTTCCGCAATCTAGCCCATGCTTACTCACCCGTTGGACCCCCACTCCAAACGTCAAGCTGTGCTTTCTAGCTCGATGCATCCTGGTCAGCACATGGAGGCAGAGTTTGCAAATTAATGTGGCGCTCCGGGTCTGGATCTAGGTGGCCGCTTACTGAAATCCTTGTTCGCTGGTTACTGTTTGGGAAGATTGCTTGGATGGATTGAGTGAGCGATCATCACAAGCAGTAAGCCGTGAGATGCGTATTGTTAGACGCACAGTAAACTATGCAATCGTGCTTGGACAGGATCGTAATTATGATAAGATGCGCAAAGATAAGCCTCGCAGTCGCAGATATTCGGGCGGAATGAAGAATGGCTACTAGTACTCTGAAACAACCACCGAAGTCTACAACAGCGATAGGAGTATGACAGCGAACTAGTACTGCATCTGCCTGGAAGTAAAAGCCCCGAGGCCACTATTGCAGCCGTTGGACGCTCGCTCGTACATGACTTGCGGACCGACGCGCCATTGTGTACTGCTGTAGTTCTGCCCTGTCCCAAACCATTTACGAAACGGCACAAGAGCTACAGGACAAGAACGGGTTTGTCTTTGAACAATGGCTTGATCGGAGTTGTTGTGGAAACCGAGCATCGAGCTCTCCCATCTGCTGACTAGGTGATGAAGACGACGCGTTCCTCACGCGTCTGTCGTGCCTGGTTGTCTTTGCTTGTTCGAAAGGGCCAAGAGAGTCGGCGGAGAGGGCACGGATGGATGCAGGCGCGCCGTGTCTCTTTGGAGCAGAGATGTGCCAAATATGCTGCGGGCTGATGCATGCGTACCTTGGATGGGCGTGTCGCGTGACGATAGTATTTCCAGTGACGTACGTCTGTGCGGGACATCAAACAGCTCCGCCCCGCCGCTTCATATACAAGGCAGCAGCGCCGCACAAAATTCCCCAAAACCAAACCACATCTTCTTCACTCGACCAACCTCGACATCACGCAATACCGCCATCATGATGAACTTCGTCCTCTCGCTGCTCCTCCAGCTGTCTATGTTCATGCTCGCCGAGGCAGCTCCCATGACGGTGCAGTCAGCTAAGCCGTGGCAAGCTGGTACCGGCGGTGGCATCATTGGCTTCATCGTCCTTGTTCTCGACATCATTGCCTGGAGTAAGCAGCAACCACGTCCCCCATGCCGCGCTTGTCGCGCTTCGTTCAAAGCTAACACGTGCTGCAGTCGAGATCTTCAAGTCCAACCGCCCCGTCCCCAACAAGGTGCTTTGGGCACTCGTCGTCTTCCTCTTCCCCGTCGTCGGCATGATCATCTACTACCTCTTCTCGAACCGTCAAGCCCACAACACCTACGAGCCTATTCCCGCATAAGCGACATGACCGATCTACACGTATCGGACACGCTACGCACCCAAGATACATCCATGGGCCCCTGCAAAACGAAAGACATGTTCTCATGAGCGCGAACGCATAGATGCGATGAGGTGGTGCATGATATATAGGTTTTACTACTGGCATTTGGCGAACGGTGTTTCATATCTCATACCCGCTGATATAACAATCAATTAAGCTGATGAGCATCCACTTGCTTCCCTTCTACCCTTGAGTCGTAACTGACAGTTGATGTATCCAATCTCACCCATCACCGCTCCTACACGCCCTGCTGGTCCGGCGCATACCAACTTAGACTTTCCCAAAGATACCTTCCGCCGTGGCTAACTTGGCAGACAACGCGATTAAACCACCCATCAAGCTCATCATACCACTAAAGATGGATACCTCCCTGAAGCCGCCATACCGGTCAATAAACGCGCCGTTAATGGGAGGGCCAATGAGGACAGCAAACGCCGCAATACCCATGCCCATGCCCATGTACGTCCCAAGGTTCCTCGGATCCTTGGTGCACTTGGAAATAGCTGCTGAGCCAGCTGAGATGATGGTGCCCGATACGAAACCGAAGAAGATGGAGTAGACGATGATACCAGCGTTGGTCGTTGGCTCGTTTATGCAGAATACCATGACGCTGGTGCCAACGCCCGCGAAGGCGAACATGTTCATCCCACCGAGCTTATCCGCTAGTATTCCTGGGATGATGCGACCGAATGTCGAAGATCCATTAATCATGGCGAGAAGGTAGGATGCCAGTAACGGACTCATTCCTCGGCTGACAGCATAGACCGGGAGATAGAAGACCGGTATCCACATACCCATCATCATGAAGAACAGTCCTGCAACGAGCAATACGTATCGCTTAATCTTCCATGCTTCTCCGATGAAGATGGTCGTCTTGCGAGGCGGAACACGCGGCTTGATGATGAAGCAGGCAAACAACATGAAGGGAACCATGATGAAAGCGACGATGCGAATGGACCAGCCAAAGGATAGGGAAGAGCTGTTGAGCAGTTTGGACAAGACAATGGGAAAGATGACGCCGCCAACGGAAGACCCAGACGCCACAATTCCAAGAGCAGCCGCGCGTCGCTTGTCGAAGTAATGGCCCATTACTGCAAAGGCAGGGAATTGGAGAAAAGCCACGCTGGTGCCCATGAGGATGGACTGCGCAAGGAAGAATTGGTAGTACTCGCTGCACAAAGAGACCATCATCAATCCAAAGACGTAGGTGAGTGTTGCGGGTCGCATCATCTATTCGGCCAGTTAGTACAATTTCAGTCTCGTGGAACCAAAGAATACGCACCCAAGCTCCGTAACGATCAAACATCGGTCCTCCGATAGCGCCTCCAGCAAACTGGATGAAGCTGGCTAAGCTACCTATCCACGCAATCTGATCCATGCTATGGTCTTTCAGTTGGTGGGTAGAATAGTATTGCTGGAGCACTCCGAAGCAAGAGGTGAAGCCGAGACAGCAGAAGAAGATGCAGAAGCCGCCAAAGGCGTTGAGCCAGGCTGTCAAACCTCCGTCGGGAGCAGGGCCTAGAGCGGCGATTTCGGCATCGGTGACTGCTTCACTGTTGTCGTGAACTGACTCATGAGATGCCTTTTCGATGTCGTAGGAAGGGACTGAAGGGGAGCTGGTGCCTGATGCGGCGTCTGGAATTGTAGATCGTGCAGACATCGTGAGCTTGTATCCGAAGATCCTGCGATGAAGTTGTTTTTGATCGATGTGTCTGATAGCGAAGTTAATTGGAATTACACTGTCCATTTCGACGAGGTATATATACAACTCAGACTTCTGTTATATCGTCATAGCAAGAGGTTTTCGGGGTCGGTATTCATTCCAATCGGAGATAAGGACGCGTGCTTATTGGTCCACTTCACCGAAAAGTGCAGCCATATCCGACTTTTAGATCAAGTCACCGACATTTATTCCCGCTCCACCTACTCTTATACTCAGCTTCACCACATTTACCCACAATCCTGAATCCCATTTATCGAACAAACAGGCATCACCGAGAATGACCGACTTCAGTCGCAGACGCAAGAGACTCGCTATGTGAGTTGACTTGGTAGCCCCGCCACTATAACCGAAGCTGACATATCCAGCTCTTGCACATTGTGCCGTAGAAGAAAGATACGCTGCAATCGAGAGATGCCATGCAATAATTGTTTGAGGAGCAAGACCGGGTCTTGTGTTTATGAGAGTGAAGTATCAGACAAGAGGCCAGCCCCAGTACATGTTACACCCATACAACCACACAACAGTAACTCAACGTTCATGGGCGCACCGAGTATGCTTTCGAGTTCGTCGACCACAACACCTAGTGTAGTTAGTAGTCAATCCTCGTTCGAGATGGACGCTATGAGGGCACGCATTGCCGAACTGGAAGACAAGTTGTCGCGAACGGGAAGCACTACTAGCTCTGTCTTCTCGCCGTCAGCTTCCACTCCAACGTCAACTCATACCGTGCAAACTGTCAGCAGTTTTGCCTGTACAGTGGACGTCATCCAGGATACTCGGATGCCTGGTGGTGCCGCTATCTCTCGAGGCATTGCGCATAAGAATCGGGTTTTTGGCCAGAGCCACTGGATGAATGGGTTCGTAATGTACCGCGATATCATCGAGATGATGGAGCCTCACCTCCACATGAGATCATCCAACCTAGTTCCCAAAATGCAACGAGTTAAGTCACTGGCCCGGATGGTCAAGTCACACCGCTCTCCAACTTGGCCTACGCCTCCAACGCGGGACTTTCCTCCAAGACACGTCTGCGACGATCTAGTTGCTGGCTACCTCCGCACCATCGAGACAATGTATCGCGTGCTACACGTCCCAAGCTTCAAGCGCACGTATGAACACATGTGGACAAGCGACCCAGAGCCTAACATGGCATTCACAATGATGTTCAAATTGGTCTTGGCTATTGGTGCAATGATATACGATGACAAAGTATCCATGCGAGCCGAAGCAGTGCGATGGGTTTTCGAGGCTCAGACTTGGCTCTCATCGCCCTTCTTCAAATCGCAACTTGGTGTTCAATATCTCCAGATCAGCATCCTTCTTCTCCTTGCACGAGAGCTTGTCGATGTAGGCTCTGAGCTTGTATGGATATCTGCAGGAGCGGTCTTTCGAGCAGCAGTATACATCGGTTTACACAAAGATCCGTCACAACTGCCGAGAACAACGGTCCTTGAAGCCGAGATGCGCCGCCGGATATGGAACACGATTCTCGAGCTGTCGCTTCAGATGAGCATGGAGTCAGGTGGACCGCCGTTCTTCTCATCGGACGACTACAACACAGCGCCACCAGGCAACTTTGATGATGAGCAACTTCTAGGCTTAGAGCCCTTCGCAAAGGCAGACGATGTGTATACGCAAACATCGATCTCCATAGCTTTACGGAAAACCCTCCCAGCTCGCCTTGCGGTACTCAAATTCCTCAACGATATCAAATCGACTGGGACGTATGAGGAGACGCTTCGCATCGACTCAGACCTGAGAACAGCACATAAGCTCCTGCGTCGCACCATTCAAGCATACACCACCTCTACCACCTCGTGCCCATCGCAATTTACATTGCAAGCTGTCGAATTTGTTATGCAGCGCTACATTACCTGTCTACATATTCCATTCTTCGCTTCCGCACTCCAAGATCCGGTGTACGCCTATTCGAGGAAAGCTACCGTCGACTCGTCGCTCAAGATCTGGAGCATGGCGTGTCCAGCTTCAGGTGAAAACTCGTATACTCCAAGTGAGACAGACCTAGCGCGCATGTGTCGATGCACAGCGGGTTTCTTCCGAATGTACACCTTCCACGGAGCAACGTTCTTGGCCAATGAAGTAAGAATACGGATCCAAGAAGACGAGGACGACCTACATGCGTCACCGCTACCTCTACGAAACATTGTTGGCGATGCTGCGGATTGGTATCTCCGATGCATACAAGCTGGAGAGACAGGTATCAAGGGCTACCTTCTCTTGCGCCTCATTGGCGTTTGGATTGACGCGACAAAACATAACATGAGCCAGTCGGATTTGTCTGCATTATTGGTGGAAGCGTCAGAACAAGCTGCCGAGGTTTGCATACCGATCTTGGAGGCCCTGGCTGGCAGTCAAGAGCCGTCTTCGGGTACTGTTGGAATTGGCGGAATTGCTATGGAGGATTTCAACTTTCAATTATCCCCCGAGTTCACGGAGGACTGGGATATGCTCATGTCAGGCACTTTCAATATGGACGACATAGGGAGTTTCGACGCGTTCTTGTCGTGATGGTGGGGCTCGAAATAAGATCATGAAGATACTCAGCGGGGACGGGCATATGTCGGATAGAGAGACTTGAAGAGGCAGACATGCTCTGATCAAGGTGCTGTCGTTTCGCACGTTGACAGCGGCTGTCACATAATCGACAGAAGAGGCTAAAAGAGGAGAGTTCGGGGCTTTCGTTAGACGCCTAATGCATGAAATGCACCGTGCGCGGATGACGATCTTCCCGCGCTAGAATCGCTCCCCAATCATCCCATCACCACGCCGCACTTCTTTTTACCGCCACATCTTCGATCACGACTTACCAAATCCATTGCAGCGACGCCTCAGAGTTCCTCTATTAATTACTGGTGCTTACACTTATGATGACATTTCGGCGCGATCCGTCAATATTCCACGAGGCACCCTAGCGCCTACTAGGGGCGCTTAAGAGCCTCCATGTAACCTGATACACCATGAGCCTCATAACCACCCCTTATCCGGCAATCCACGTCGCAGTGCAGTATGAATGACAGCCATCATCGTTCTTGCGGCCTCATATATCACGTCGAAGTGGCCTGATTTTTTTGTTCCCTTGTCGCCTTTTTTTCTCCATCCCGAACTTCTGGTATACCTCAGGCAGTGGAACCAAACCTCACCAGCAACGAACTTTCTTTTCTTTTCGTTCGTCTATACATTCATTTCTTGAGGCGTGCCGGTCACCAAAATATCTTTCTAATAATATCTTACTTCTTCTTGTCCCTCTCTCCATCAATCCATTCCTCAGGACGAACCCAAAAAACATCGACGACGTCATGCATTCCTCACTCCTTACAAACATCTTCATCGCCCTCTCGGTCTTTCATCTGGTAGCCGCTGGCCCAAACCCTGTTCCTGTTCTCCCCGGCGGCCTCCTCAACACCAAACTCGAAGTCCGCCAAGTCTCCGCCACACCTTCGCAAGCTGATTTGTGTCTCGACTACGAACGCACAGCCAACATGTCGACCGTCGGCGCCAACGGCTCTTACCGTACTGTCGTCATGCAAAAAGCCAACGTCGGTACCCTGACCAGCGCGCGCATGATGGATGCTGCCATCGCGAAGCTACCTGCCCTCACGGCCGATGCAGATCTGAACTCCAGGTGTGGAAACTGGACGGAGATCGCGCTAGTGGAGGCGGAGAAGAACTTCACTCAGGGCATCGTGGCACAATTTACGACCGAGGGGCTGCCTGTTGGCATCTTGGCTGGACCAGAAGTTTTAGTCATCGTGGGTGTTATTGCTACCCTTTTCTCAATCGTGTGGGTATTCCCCGGTTAATTCTCAAAAAAGAAGTTGAAGCAGAATATCGGAGGTTGGAACAAGTAGAGAAGAAGATGGTGGGAGGTGCATATGCTTGTGCGCTCATAAGAACGCACAAGACTAGAGTCAATTATACCCAAATTTCCGTGCTCCAATGAACTATCAGGCCGGTATTAACGTGTCAAATTCGTCTGACGCGTGGTGCAAGTGGTGACAACATATCGAGAGCAATGTATAGATGCAATGCAAGTATATTCAAGAAATAAATGTATGTACAAAACCGAACGCGCAACTGCTTCAGCTCTCTTCACTCATACCAGTGAGCTTGTATCACCAAGATCCGTCGTTGCTCAGAAGGTGACAACACCGACACCAGCGCTCTTCTGCACGATAGCGCAAACACTGGCCGCAGGGTCAACAGTGTACTTGTAGCTGGGTGCGAAAGAACCCTTCTGAGTGATCTGAGTAGGGCTGTTGGTGAAGATGTTGTCCTTCTCGACGGCAAAACCTTCCTCATCAGAGTCCAAGTTGGTTACAACAGCCTTGTCGACACCGGTGAAGGAGTTGGCCTCGACGAGGACTTGAGCGCCCATGCGCGAGTTGACACCGGAGATACCGCCCTCGTAGCAGGAGCTGTAGATGTGTCCGGTGCCGAAACGGATCGAAGGCAGACGCGAGTTGACGCCAACGAAGGAGTTGTGGTGGTAGGTAACGTGAAGCTTGCCCTTGTCCTTGGAGGCGTTGTTGTCAGAGTGGCCTACGAGAGAGCCCTTCCACTTCTGGGTGTTAGCATTGAATATATTATGAACTGATAGCATGGTGCAGACTTACGTGGTCGTGGAACTTGTTCCAGGAGAAGGTAAGCATATCGGCTCCAGATTTGGCGTCAAGCAGGCCATCGTATGTGTCCTTGTCGCCGGTAATACCAACACTGGAAAAGTCGTTGTGGTCAACCCATACGTTGGTCGAGCCCTCAATGTCGATGAGGTCTTTGCCCTTGGGAGCGTGGTACAACTTGAGGTTCCGGATGATGATGTTGGAGGTCTTAAAGACTTGGAGACCAGAGTCTGTAAGACCAGCATCCTTGCCAACACCAAGGATAGAGGTACCAGCGGTACCGACGCGGATGACGCC